TTTTTCATTTACACGCGCTAAAACAGTTAAATTAGAAGACTCGCTTTATTTTTATCTTGCTTGAGTTATGATGTACTGTCGGGGGTGGATATATTAGCATAGATTTTATAATTATCAATTCGACTCATAAAAGTCAAAGCAGATAATGTTTACTTCAATTAATTATACTTTGTTTCAGACGCAGAGCACTTCAAAGGCAAGCACAAGAAGCTCAAATTTCAACTGAAGAACAAGAGGAAATGATGAGGAATTTGGAGCGCCGAGAGACTGAATACATGAGACTGCAGAGACGTAAAGTTGGAATTGATGACTTTGAGCAGTTAACCGTAATTGGCAAAGGTGCTTTTGGCGAGGTGCGTGATGAAGATAGATTGCATTACAAATTTTGGATTCTAATAGTTTGCATTGTCCGTAACATTTTCATATAATGCAGGTGAGGTTATGTCGTGCTAAAAGTACGGGAGAGATTTATGCCATGAAGAAATTGAAGAAATCAGAGATGCTTAGCCGAGGACAGGTAATAACAATCTAGCTTGGTGCATACTCTGCATACATGATACTTCAATGCAGCAATCTTCGTTTTAATCTGATGGTTATTTTACTCCAGTTTGTATTCATTCATTTTAATCTGATCGTTATTTCAAATTGCAATCAAAGATATACACTTTATCTTATACTTGTCTTTGGTGATCTTTCTGATTGCAGTTCATTGTGCTTCAAAAGAGCATTTGATATTACCAAAATTAAGTGCTGAATGCCAAGTCGTTTTCTGATATTCTAATGAAAAATAGGGTGTTGACTGGTACATAGTGACTGCTTAACCTTGTTTAACTTTTTCAATAGATATGTATGTTTTCCATTGATCTAATGGTTTATATCTGGCTGGAAAAGGGGCATTGTCTATGTACATTGTGTTGGGCAAAGATCGAATAAGATTTTCATTATGTATGACCTTCAGCTTCAAAGGGAGTTTTATATGTTTTCAAATTTTTAGTACTGAATAATGACGTCTAACAGGCTAATTTGGCCGCTAGAGTGGACTCATTTACTTATTACATCACATTGTCATTCTAATTCAGGTGGAACATGTTCGATCTGAGAGGAATTTGCTAGCAGAGGTTGATAGCCGATGCATTGTAAAACTTCATTACTCATTCCAAGATTCTGATTTCCTGTATCTCATTATGGAGTATCTACCCGGTGGTGACATTATGACATTATTAATGAGAGAAGATATCCTTTCTGAAGATGTTGGTCGCTTCTACATTGCTGAAAGCGTCCTAGCTATCCACTCAATACATCAACACAATTACATACACAGGTATGGTTATTGTGAAACTAATTTGGTCTCACTGCAATGCGAAGCTACTTTATGTACAAGAGCTGTGACCTATGAACACTGAATACTTTGAAAGTTCTTCATCTTTCGATATGCCATGAGAGCCCTCCTTTATACTAGCAAGGTTTATCCTAAAGGAAAAAAAAGGTTAGCTCTTGGCTTTTGTAAACTCTGAAGATGTTGGTCTAAAATAATAAAATTCTGTAAACTCTGGCTCAAATTACCAGGGGCCTGTATTCTTAAGGTAAAATATGTAATGCAGTCTTTCATCTTCTTAGAACATGGATTTCTTGCGGCTAAAAACAAGAATGACGTGGACAATTTAGATAAAGCTTGTCAGATTGTAAGGGGAGTGTATTTAAGCTGAATCTCTTATATGTCCCATATTGAATATCATCAATCAAGATAAAAAATGTTACTTGAGTCGTAATACGCTCCACCTAATACCATAGTTTCTTATGGTGGGTTTTCCTCACCGCTTAAGTCACATCATATTGGTCCATATCCGTAATTTATACTTAAGATCATTGTTTATGGAAAAGGATTTATCATTTTCTTGCGTGTAATTATTCTCAAATGTATCAAGCAATAAAGATTATGCTTAGTGAGATGCACTCTGCTTGTAGGGATATAAAACCAGATAATTTGATACTGGATAGAAATGGCCATCTGAAGCTATCAGATTTTGGCTTATGTAAGCCTCTTGATGATAAGTATTCAACAATTTTGTTGGAAAGTGAAGATTTCACGAGTAATGAATCAACGAGTGAGTCTGAAGGATATTCTGCAGCACCTTGGTCGATGCCAAAGGAGAAATTACAACAGTGGAAACGTAATCGCCGAGCACTGGTATTGCCATTTTCCTCCAGTTGAAGTCAAAATTCATTGTTGGCTCCAGAAAAGAAAACAAAAATCAAACTCTATGCCAAAATGACTTAATGATTTACAGAAGTTCTTAATTTCTGCTTTTAATTTTTTAAACAGTAAAGTATATTAACGCAAAGTTTGTTTATGTTTTCTAACTTCCATTCTTCAGGCATATTCTACTGTTGGAACTCTTGATTACATGGCACCTGAAGTTTTGCTCAAAAAGGGCTATGGAATGGAATGTGATTGGTGGTCGCTTGGAGCTATCATGTACGAGATGCTTATTGGATATCCTCCCTTTTGTTCTGACGATCCAAGGATGACATGTCGTAAGGTATTTAATTCAATTGGTTTTTCTGTTCTTATAATCTTTTCCCATTTGTTCATAAGGACATGGTGTTGTTTATTGTATCAGATAATTAACTGGAAAACATGCCTTAAATTCCCCGGAGAACCCAAGATATCAGCTGAGGCTAAGGATCTGATTTGTCACTTATTATGTGATGTGGACACGAGACTCGGAACCAGAGGTGTCGAAGAAATAAAGGTAACAACTCTCTTAGGCATAGCCAGTATATTAATTATTAGGGAAATCGGATATTTTTCTGGAACATGCCCCTGTGGCAAGTCCATTATTAATATACCATTAATTCCTTTTTCAGGCTCATCCATGGTTCAGATCTGTTCAGTGGGATACACTTTATGAAATGGAAGCTGCGTATAAACCTACTGTCACTGGAGACTTGGACACACAAAACTTTGAGAAGTTTCCGGATGTGAGTACAAAAATTGTACATATAAAAAATGCTGACAGGTGAAAATGAAAAATTTGCGCTGCCAGTTCTACATGGAAATCCAAAGGGTGAAACTAGATGCATGCCTTAATTTCACAAAAGTTGTAAACTAATTTAATTTCACTGGAATTTTCAAGAAGGGAAATGGCTACTTCTTTCAACTTCAACATTTTCCATTTTATCTCTAAAGTTTTTCATCGCACTGCAAATTGATTGTGTTAGATATTATTTATTGTTCTGAGAGCCAGTGCGACTGAAAACTGCACACTATAGCAAAAGGATGATCGTGGCTTATTATGTTTTCCATTTTCATATTATCTCAGCACAACTAAACTTCTGTGAGTTTGTTCATTTCAGTTAGAAGGGCCACCATCAGCAGCAGCTACTATGGGACCTTGGCGGAAGGTAAATCATTTTCTCAAACTGCAATTTCTTAAGACCATTTCTAAGCTTGTGGATCTAGTTCATGGCCTAATATTTTCATGGGCGTGGAAAAAACAATTTTCTTAACCTTATTCTTTTCATTAGGCTACGCCATTATATTGCACATGTCGACTGTTAATTTTTTTCCCAAAAATTTTTGTTTCTTGATATGCAAGTACTAACGAAAGTTATTCAGAAGCCAGTTCAATAAATGTTCTTGGACATCGATTAACAATTAGATATCACTTCTACATTCTTCGGATCTATTAAAAAATTGCGTATTTTGCTGAACTGATGACTTTCAGCAATCAGCAGTCTAGTTTGGCCTGTATTACTGTGGAGTCAAATTTTCAGTTTGCAAATTTGTTCTCTATTGGGAGATATTTTGCTAATTCATTTCCCCTGAAACTTGCTTTTGAGGTCTTTTAGATGTTCTATATTTATGCCCCTTGTATTAAAACTGCAACTTTATGATACGTTGCTTTCCCTTTTGACACTTCTCGCAGATGTTAACATCTAAAGACACCAATTTCATAGGATTTACATTTAAGAAATCAGACGTCCTTAAATCACTAGGAAGTTCAGGTAGGTCATCTTCAGCGGTTGGATTATTTTGCTTCGCAACAATCCCGTTATGTAATTTTAAATGAATAACGTTTTGCAGATGCGGATGTTAGATTGCATGGATCATCACAATCTCCGTCCCTAATTTCATTGTTAGGTAAGATCTGATATACATGCACAGGGTCACACTTCACACGAATACATTCCAAAATTGTGGATCACACAACTAGTAGCGTAGAAATCTGCCTGGAGAAGAAAAAAATTGCAGCAAGTACACTTGATGTATTTTCTCCCCGCCCCTGTCCCTTGCTCCCTCTCTTTGCAATTGAAAGAGCAAGGGATGGATAAATGCATTTAGCAGAGTCCTGCAGACAATTGTTTGTGTGAATGACCAGCTAATCCTTCCTCCTGTTCTCTTGCTAATTGGCAGATTCTGATACAATTTTTGAGCCTGCCTTTTTAACATGCCTGGGTTATGCAGGTCGTATCGATTTGCAAGACACTGCCATCCCAGAAAGTGAGCAGAAACCAGATACTTGAGTCATGATCTTCCCTGTTGCACCTCTGTTGGGTCGTGTATTATATTCTATGCACATGACATTTGAAGAAGAACATCGCTGATCACTAAAAATGACCACAGCAAAATTATTCAATGGAGGCAGACTCGAATAAGGTCATACGCTGTGGTTGGAGAGCTAATACGGACCAAGCGGCTCAGATCACATGCTCTTTGCGCTCTCGAGTGATGATGCTATTATATCAAACGCAGTTTTCCCGCAACACGCGGCATCCACACATATTTGTTTAATATTTCAAGGAACTGAGTTTTAGACAACAGATTTTTGCTGTTTTATCATGGTTCTTTTGATAAAAAGGTTTTGGCAATATGTATGAAACTCGTTTATTCAAAAGATAAACCGCCTCATTTGATATTGCTTGTGATGCTTGCATGTTTAATCTTCTGTGGTGAGCCTTGAGCACAGGAAGTAGTCGTTTATTCATTTCGACCCAAAGAAAAGAATAGTCGTTTTGTTCACAAACGTTAATAATTATAAATATATTTTGACAACCATTAGCACCATAACGATCAACTAATGTTGCTGATTTGTATAAAATTTGTAATTTATAAATTTTTAAATATTCAATGTAAAATATCCTGGAATACGAACGGAGCAGGTGAGATGGAGTTGTCAATTGCAAGATCGCATGGAGATAAGATAAGAAAAGGACAACAGTATCCTATGGGAATGGGATTATCAAAGAACAGGAAAAGTGAGGGGGCTCAAAGCTGAAAGTGCAGTGCCACATCATCGAATGTAGCGGCGTATCATCATTTCATGGGGGGGAAGCCAGATATTTTGGATGCTGCTAAATATCTGTCGTCCTGTGTTCGCCAGCATAGATGACGTGGCGAGGCGATGGCCCCTGACACGTGTTAAAGCGATGACAACTGTAACTACCTTTCATCATTTTCTTTTTAATTTGTTCCAAGTTCAAGTTCCAATCACCGCTTCCACCACCTCTGCTCATCGTCGATCAGTTATCATGAAGAATCTGAGACCCCCTCAAGTTCCGACGATTTCGCCCAACGTCCTCAACCAGTCCGGCGACTTCAAGCTGCCGCCCAATCACGTGCAGGTACCTCTCATTTCTCTTCATTAACTCATTTCTTATGCCTTAATTTATCCATGTGATCTTTTAATTGACCGTTCCTCCCAAAAAAAAAAAAAAAAACCAACCGTAAACTTAATTCGAAGAAATATTTACTCGGCATTTATATTTATTTTATCAGGACCCTTCATGTAAGAGATGCTTATCAACGGAAGAGTGGACCGATGAGAAACACAGCATGTATCTCAAGTCCATGGAAGCATCATTCGTTCATCAGTTGTATAATTCCAAGCAAGTGCTGGCTTGGCGTTCTCCTAAAGCAACTCTCACCCACTCTATCCCCACTACTTCTACTCAGGTTTATCTTCTGTTGTTTTTTGCCCCCCAAATTAAGGGAAAATATTACTTGCATATCTCATAATAATCGGTGCACAGTAACTAATTTTTGTTGTCTGACTACAGTTGGGATTAAGATCATTAGTATTCCAATGTTTTATAGTTATTGTTACTCTGATATTACTGTTCTTCCTATTCTATCGTCTTCTAAATAAGGAGTTATTAGTGTATCTACAGCCCCCAAAAAGGATATAGATTACATGGTTTGAAATGATAGTAAATAAATTTGCCCGCATGTAATTAATTAAAACATGGCCCTTGATTAGATATTTGTTTTCGGCGCAGTTTAATTTCATGATCCCTTGCAAGCACCGAATGGCTAGTCCCCAAATTCTTCACTTAATATAGTCCTTTGATTAGAAGTTGGTTAAATAAATATGCTTATATTTTTTGAACAGTGGAAGGATGGGGGAGATGGATATTGGAAAAAGATGGAATATGAGAGAGAGAAGGGGCAAATACGAAGGAGGAATAAGGGGCATGATCTAAAGGCAAAGCCATGGATTCAGCAGTTGAGCTGCTCAAGCGGTAGCGTTGGGAAAGAAAGTACTACATCCACAGCCACAAGTAAAGGTGGTGGTTTGGGCCAGAGAAACCAAATCCCCTCTGCTTCACCTCACCACCTGTTGTTCTTCAGCGATATAGGTACGCTCCACTGTGACCACTCTCTTCTCCGTCCCCCAACAGTAAATTAAGATCGCTTAATTAAGTGGGGTTTTTTGCAGAGATGACAGATCAGAACTTTGTTGATGACGAAGTAGTGGAGAGCGAAAAGAAAAATGTTAAGAGGCACAAGCCTTTGATCTCCGACACTTCCATGCACCAATGTTGAGGTGACAACTATATGTTTGCAGGGATAATCTCTGGTTATGGGCCTCAGAATGCTTGATCACTTGCAGACGCACGCTTGCTATCTTCTGATTCCGATTCTGCTGCTCATATCTTCTGTACGGGCGGTGCATTATTAACGGGACAGTGTTATCTGGTGGTGATGTTTTGTATATATCTGTAGTTTATAGTTTGCTTAATTATCATTAGCCATCCTTTTAGGAGAGTTATTTTCTGAAGTCTTTGGCTCATTCTCCTCACTATTAATTGCTTCCTCTGTTTCTTTTTATGAGAAACAAATGCCTCCATTTTCAATACTAATGAAGATACTACTTCCGGTTCTTAATATAAGATACTGTTTGATTTTTATTTTGGTCCTAAATATAAGACCCTAATCTATTTTGTCTCTCATATTTACTCAATTTTTTTCAAAATAGTTTTTCTAATAATTATAGTTCTAATCAATATACTTGATTAGTAAGGATATTTTAGGAAAGATAACACCTATTTAGGACAAATAACTAACTTAACTTACTTCTTTAATCTTTTCAAATTAGTTAACTGACTCTTATAATTAGGACCGGAGGTAGTATATTAATTTAGTTGGAAACTTTATAAGTGTAGATAAACAAACATTGTTTTCCAACGATATCCTTAATCTTTCATCTTTAATTAGATAAAAGTAGCACGGAACAAAATTACATCTTCTTTTATTTCTTACAGTAAATAATGGAAGGAGTACTACTTGTACTGTTTCAAGTTGGTACCATCTGTCGTGACCTTTCCAGCTAATCATATCTTGGGGTTGTAAGCCTTTCAAAATGTTGCTTACAAGACCAGCTTTCCAACAATGAGTCATTTTTCTTAGGCAGAAGGAAAGTACATCCATTTTTATTTTATGTTTTCAATACGAATTATATTTGTTTAATAAAAATATATGAACATGGATAAAAATATATTTAAAGTTATACATTTATCATACAACGAATAAAACAATAACGATAACGTAGGAAGTATGCCTAAATTCTTTCGTAATTATAGCATCATATGATAAATAAAAAACATTAGATTTTTTATTTCGCCGACAAAAACGTTAGAAGAGCGATGGCAGGGGAAAAAAATAATTTCATGAGAATTTGCCGTCAATTTTCCACCTACCAACCCAAAAGGCCAAAAGGGGGTGGTTCTGCCGTGGAAGGCGCGTGTTCCTACATGTTTTGGACGGGTCAACAAGAACGGCGTCGTCTAGGTGGGAGCAACCACGTGGTTTTTGCGGGAATCCTGATCACTGCTTCGAGAACCGCCAACGTTTATTTTTATTCATGGTTGCCACGGTCTTTGAAGCCCCCGTCTAATTGGAAGAACAATCTCCATCCTCGATTTCTCATGAAATCCTCAGCTTCTTCAGTTCTCTGCTCCTGATCTTCGTCGATTTTGCTTCGCCGTGGCGTCTTCATTCATATCAGGATTGTTACAAGATTCGGTTTTTCGTTTCTTAGGCTTCACATTCTCGGTTCCTTTGACTTCAACTCGGAGCATGCGTTCTTCGCTCCTGAGTTTTTCCTGTGATTGGTGATTCTTTTAGCGGCCCAAAATTCCGATAAGCTAGTGATTTTAGCTGCATTTGTATTGTAATATCTAGTCGCGCCCGTTCAATTAGGGTTCCCCAATTTCTAGGATTCGAAAATGCCACCATTTTTGTCGGCCTCAAAAGCACTCCGATCATTTGTATCGCGTAAAACCGGGGTCAAGCAATTAATTAGTTCCGGCACGAGCCTTGGGCAGCTCGGTGACAAGAACCGGTCCATTTGCAAACCCTTTGGCTGCGCCGCTGATTCTGTATCCGCAATTGGAGCTCTGCATAAGAATCATTTTGTTCAGACGAGGCAGTTTCTTGGATGTGGAGACGGTGAAGAAGGTGTGCTATCCAAAGTGTACGAGGAGAAACGCGTTTTGGGGTAATATGATTATATCCATCTTTTTGTCTTTCCTTCTAGAATGCCTTTTCTTCAACGTGAATAATATGAACATTCTTTGGCAGAATCAGAGCGTCCCGCTGATCTTTGTGTCTCGAACTTCCTTAGTAAATTGTAGAGCGATCACACGCAGTTGGTTATTGATTTGTTTTCCTGAAGTTTCCATCTATTGCTACGAAGGATATATGCTGTTTTTCTGTGCAATTCTTCCCATTATTGATATATTAACTTTTTAAATGCACTTGCTAGACCTGGCTTCTTACGTTTCTTAATTCTTTTTCTTGGTGCAAATTGGGGATTGCTTGGAAACCAGTTTATCAATGAATATGCTAGCTGATACACTGTTTAATTCATAGGTACTCTCCAGAGCAATTATTTGACGTCGTTGCCGCTGTTGACTTCTATCATGGTTTTGTCCCATGGTGTCAGAGATCTGAGATACTTAAGCACTATCCAGATGGATCATTTGATGCTGAGTTGGAGATTGGATTTAAATTTCTTGTTGAGAGTTATATTTCCCATGTTGAATTGGAAAGACCGAAGCGAATAAAGGTATTCATCCTATTGTGATCTGCAGCATGATGGTTTAGGCCTTTAGGGGTTCTAGCTCGCTTATCTTTATCCTGTTTTCCTTTTATTATCTCTGGATTATTATTGTGACTCACGAACAACTTCTTTTGCGACATTAAATTTCAACACAAGGATGAAAATGATAGACCCGTTTTAGTCAAAATTCGATATTAATGTTAAGTTTAATTTATGTCGCTATGATAAGTGCTATATATAAGCCACTGTGATATATATGCGCTGATGAGCATAGGCATATCATGCAGATTTTGCAAAACTAATATGGAACAGCTATCCTTGTATTGTGCTTCCCCCCCCCCCCCTCTCGTCATGATTTTCTATCTCAATAAACTAAGGAGTTTTCTTATCAGGAGGAAGAAAGTCCTGCAGTGCTAGAGTGTCTTTTAGTCATTTTCTGATAATTGATTGAATTTAGTGTGGGTGAACTTTAGACTCCTTATTTGACCATATCTAGGGTGTTCCGACTCTATTGCTTTCCCTTTTCAATTCACTCATAATGTTTGTTTTGTGCCTCCAGACCACTGTATCACAGAGTACCCTGTTTGACCATTTGATAAACATATGGGAATTTAATCCCGGGCCAGTTCCAAAATCTTGCAACGTTTATTTCTTGGTGGATTTTAAGTTTCAATCTCCTCTTTACAGACAGGTACAACTCTCTGGTTCTGTATCTTTCCCCCTCAACTTAGTTTTTGTCGTCATTTTTGCTTGATTGTGAGATCAGTTTTCCCTCTAATTCTAAATTGACTTGACTTGAGCCCTTCATGCGCTCCAAGTCCATACGAGGCCTCTGTGCCCACCTTCTTAATAGATATTTTCGCATGTTAAAAAGTATATGCTTATTGGAACTAAATAATACCTGATACTGCCATGCATTTCCCTTCCCAATGTACCCACATTTCTAGACATACAATTGACGTCATGGCCTTCGTCACAATCAACCTGGTCAAGACTACATATGCTGCACTAGTTACTTCAGCTTCCTCCTTTTGTTTCTGGCTGTAATTTTATCCTATACTGCTAGTTGCCCACCTCCTGCTGTTGTGATTTGCATCACGTTCTGTTAGACTGTCAACTTCGATGAAATATTTGTTCTATTTCAAAAACATGGGTTTTGCATAGGTGTTCATGTTATCTATGTTCTGAGTCTTGCCCACATGAGGATTCTATAATTTTTCAATTTGTACATATTTATGCCAAGATTTCAGTCCAAAATTTAAACATGAAAAGGTGTGCTTGTAGTTTAGGCATGCGTCTTCTGTTCTCTTACAGTTTTCTAGCTGTGTGACCCCTTTTCTTTATTCTGTTGTGCTCCTTGTTCCTGTTCATGAATGTTTAAAGTACTGCGTATCCCGTATTGGGTATCATTATATTTTGACTTTTGAGCTGTGACTAATTGATTTTTTTTTTTTTAAACCTTAGCTGTGGCTACTGATTGATAGTTTTTTTTTTTGGGTTTTTTTTTTGGGGGGGGGGGTGGTTGCTGACGCTCGGGTTCTCAGATTGCTTCAATGTTCTTTAAGGAGGTGGCCTCAAGAATGGTTGGTTCGTTTACTGAGCGTTGCCGTGTGATATATGGACCAGAAGTGCCAATCCTTGAGAATTCGTATGGGGAAGGGGCGCAAAGTTATCCTGCTCGTCGCAATTAGAACATAGTTGACATCAATTCACAATTTAATCGGGGATTGAGTGGCTTTTTGATTGTTTGCCACTCAATGCTATTGTCTTGTGGTTATTGTAATTTAAAGGCTTTAATGTCAATTATAAGTCACCTCACATGTTCTTAGAGTATCAATAATCAATTCTTTTTCTTCTACGTATGCCTTCAATCAATTAGTCGAGGAAGAGAGGCCAAAAATTAACAGTCATCTCGTTCTATTTATAAATTATTTTGAATATGATTCACTGAGATTAAGACAAATACTCCCTCTAAAATTGAAAAACCTTATAACTTTATTATTATTTAATATATGTACTTTTCAAGAAAATAACAATGAGCATAATAATAAATTAAAAATAAAATAATATATTTATTAAAATTTAATAAAATGATTTATAAACAGGATAACATTTTTCTATGCAAAATGTGTTTCTGCAAGCGAAAACTCAGAAAAGTCTATTGCATCATTCCGCCATCAAAAATTCAACCCACCTGGGGTATCAGAACATTCTTGTAATACTTAATGTTTAAGATGGAAAAAAAAAAACTCTTCTCACTCTATTTATAAGGTAAAGATAGAAAGTTTTTCTTGATCTTATTTAGAAAATTATTTTATTAAATTTTATTAAATTTTTAGTATGAATGTACTATTTTATTCTTCATTTATTATAATATAGATAGTTTTTTTTAAATGTGTATATATTAAATAGAGATAAAATTGAAAAGTTATTATATTTTAATAAAGAATTAATTTAGTTTAAGATTTTTCTTGTTCCATGTAAAACAAGTTAGAAGTGGCTTATCAATAGGATCAGAAGAGTGTAATCTTATTCCCTCCATTGTTATTTATAAGTTTCAAATTTAAAAAAAGATGTGATCTATTTTATAAACTTTACGTTAGATTTGCCTTAACATTTGATGTATTTTGTTGAATGTTGCCCTTAATCATTTATCTCTTATCACATTTTTTTCACACATTTTTTTAAATCTTTTTTCTCATTATAAGAACATAGTTGGAAACAAAAATCTATTTCTAACATATTTATGCTTTTAATTAATTGTTGGTTATTTGAAATTTATAATAAGTATTGAAGGGAGTACTTGTTAGCTTCTGATTATTCTTACAAAGGTTTGGTGGTTTGTTATCACAAATTTTTGCGATCCCTCGTTGGAGGTTTTTGCTTTTTTTGGTGAATTGGAGATATTTAGCACTGATGATAATGGACAACGATATTTATGAATTTTTCGCGGGGGGACAATAGGATCCAAGGCGGAATGATAGCAGGGTTGTGTTCAAACTTTGCGCGTTTCTGTTTCATAATGGAATCTGCACACTCATCATCTTTATGTGCGTCCGCTTATCGATGGTGAATAATCGATAAGCTAGCTCAGTGCGGCTTTATAGATTTGATGATTTGTCGACTTCAATCTTGTTAAATGAATAGATGATAAATTATTACTATCTTTAAAAAAGCATTTACAAATTATTTGTGATTTGAATTGGGATTTTAACTACTCTTTTCCTGTTATTTTCTTTTAGCTTCGCCTGAAGGCTGAAGTTTACAAGACAAGATTTTGGGGTGACTAATGACTAACTGATGTTGAACCGTCGTCCGCTATGGAGAAACGGGTAGGCGCCTGTTTATTGCTATTTCGTCATTTTGTCCGTTCATTATCGCTTCTACATACACGTTAGAGTGTTTGGCTGCTCCCATGATCCATCCCCGTGAGGCCCTGGTATTATGAACGCATGCACGGTCTGGAGCTCCAAAACTCGCGGCATCTCATTCTTTCACTCTCTGCTTACCTCTTATAATGGAAGCCAAAGTGAGAAGTGGCCGCTGGTTATCTTCCGGCAGCTTCTAGAGGCTAATGCGAATCCCAATGATCTCACTTTTTCGTTACTTATAAAAGCGTTTGCTTCATCGTTCTCTTCTGATACTTATACCTCTGCGGTTACGGAATTTGAAGTTAGCCAAGTTCAAACTCAATTAGTGAGGCGAGGCATCAACCGTTTGGTTTATGTAAATACTGCTCTTCTGGATTTCTATATGAAACTGGGGCTTGTAACTCATGCTCGCCAGTTGTTTGAAGATATGCCTTGTAGAGATGTTGTTTCGTGGAACGCATTGATTTGTGGATATTCACGGAACGAACATGGTTATCGTGCAGTGAGTTTCTTTGTACAAATGCTTAGAGAAGGTTTCCGACCTGACCATGCGACAATTGTTGGTTTGGCACCTGCTTGTGGTCGCTGTGAACTAATTCTTCAAGGAAGATCACTTCATGGGTTTGGAATTAAAGCTGGCCTTGGTTTTGATTGTCAATTGAAGAATGCCCTTTCCTCAATGTATGCTAAATGCGAGAATTTGGAAGCATCAGAACTTTTATTTGAAGAAATGTCTGAGAGAAGTCTTGTGTCTTGGAACTCTATGATTGGTGCCTATGGCCAAAATGGATTCTCGGAAAAGGCGATGATTTGCTTCAAAGAGATGCTAAGTGAGGGTGTGCAACCCGGTCCAGTGACAATGATGAACCTTCTGTCAGCGAATGCTGCTCCAGAGTCTATTCATTGTTACATCATTAAATGTGGAATGACCAATCATGCTTCTGTCATTACTTCGCTAGTTTGCTTATATGCAGGGCAAGGGCTCACGCATATGGCAGAACTTCTTTACAAACATTTGCCAACGAACAGCCTGATTTCCTTAACTGCAATCATGTCTAGCTATGCTGAGATAGGTGATATAAATTCAGTAGTTGGGTATTTTATCCAAACTCAGCAATTGGACATGAAACTGGATGCAGTTGCATTGCTTAGTGTCCTTCATGGCATTATAGATCCGCCCCATTTCGCTGTTGGACGTGCTTTCCATGCTTATGGATTAAAGACTGGGCTGACTACCGATGGTTTAGTCACTAATGGGCTAATAAGCCTGTATTCAAAATTTGATGAGATAGAAGCTGTTTACTGTTTGTTTCTTGAGATGAGCTATAAATCTTTGATCACTTGGAATTCTGTGATATCTGGCTGTGTGCATGCTGGAAAATCAAGTGATGCCATGGACTTCTTCTGTCAAATGAAGAAGTCTGGACAAAAACCTGATGCCATAACTATTTCTAGTTTACTATGCGGGTGTAGCCAGCTTGGGTACCTGAGAACTGGGGAGACGCTGCATAACCATGTCATAAGGAACAATGCGGAAATGGAAGATTTCACAGGAACTGCTCTAATAGACATGTATACCAAGTGTGGAAGGTTGGATTATGCTGAAAAGGTGTTCAATAGCATCGTTGATCCATGTTTGGCAACATGGAACTCAATTATCTCAGGTTATAGTTTATACGGAGTTGAATATAAAGCCTTCACCGCTTATGATGAGCTGCAAAAACAAGGGCTAAAACCTGATAAAATAACCTTTTTGGGAGTTTTAGCAGCATGCGCCCATGGGGGACTTGTCTGTGAAGGAACAGAGTACTTTCGGGCCATGATAGAAGAGCATGGCTTGATGCCAGATTTGCAACATTATGCTTGCGTGGTTGGTCTATTAAGTCGACCGGGATTGTTTCACGAAGCAATGGAATTTATTAACAATATGAAGATCCAACCTGACTCTGCTGTGTGGATATCATTGTTAAGTGCTTGTAGTATCCACCAAGAAATCAAACTTGGGGAATGCTTGGCGAATAAATTGTTTTTCATGGATCAAAGAAATGGTGGGTTTTACGTGTTAATGTCAAATCTTTATGCAACTGTAGGAAGGTGGGATGACGTGGCAAGGGTGAGGGATATGATGAGAGACAGTGGAGGAGGCGGATGCTCTGGAGTGAGTGTTATCGAAGTAACATCCATTGAGGACTTGAACAACAACCTGGGAATGAATGAAGTCTATTTGAATACAAATACTCTGCAGCCCTTTTGTCTATAACTAGCATGTACTTCCCGCGCGATGCACGGAAAAATGGTTAATATGAAGTTATTTTATTTTAATTGCAATTAAGAAAATAATTCATTGGTTTCAAGCCAAAAATTAATGTTAAAATAAAAACATCTTATGGATTCATTTCAATCAACATAATAATTTCTTCTTAGGGTTTAGGGTTAAACCCTAAATTTATGCACCCAGATTTCTAAATATTTTCTGATAAACAACATTAGTTATTTTCATTTGAATGAATAAGTATATTATTTGTAATGATATTAATATATTAATGTAAACTTTGCCATCACACATTCCTCATTTATTCCTTCACTATGGTCTGCTAAAAATACTAAAATTTTAAAATAGTGTTTATGGTGATATTTCTATCCCCATAAAAAAAAATATGATTCAAATTTTAAATCTTGCAAAAAAATAATCACAGAAGTCTATATTTTTTAAATAAAAAAAAGAGTCTCAATAACTTAAAAGAAAAAACATCATCTCTTCTTGTCTACGTAAATATCACGTATAATGATCGAAAGAAATGATACATATATATATATCAAAAATTTAAATAAGTTTTACTACATTAATTACTAAAAATGTGGATCAAGTTTTATTTGTTTTGAATTAAAAAGAAAATCTACATTCATTCTCAGTCTAGGTTAATTTTTACAAGGCCACATTAAATCCTAATCTCTGTTCTTTCACTTGAAGATTTCATATTTCCACCCACAAGGATTTTAAGTCAAATAATCAAAACAATTTAACTTTCATATTCACATAGGTTGATTTCGAATTCATCAAATATCAAACTGTACAATATTAAAAGCAATTTATAACGCTTAACCCAGAAATCAAAAGCTCTTTAATATTCCTTTTTTGACCAGCAAAAGCTCTTTAATATTAAAGAGTGATAGGGAATTGATTGTCATGGACATGCCAAAACAATATTAAAAACAATCGTTAGACAAGGCCATGTAAGCATATCTTTTTACTTCTTTATCACATTTCCCCTCCCAGCCACATATTGGTGACCGCTCTCCAACCCAAAAAACATAAACCAGATTTTACTTAAAACTCTTATCCCATATTATTTTAACCATTTCTGGAAAACAATATCAACATTAGAAAACTGAGAACAATCAAAATCAAATTTTTGTCTCAATAACTAATCAATAGTTCATCAATTTCAAAGGATACGACAGACAAAATTTCTTATACAAACCAGAAAAAAAGTTGAACACTGACGTTAGCTCACTTCCCTATGCCTTTAAGCTCTCTACTAAAGCTCACTTCCCCGTGTCATATCATTAAAACTCACTTCCCTGTGTCTTTATCAAAATTGAGCAACAATTACATGCCCCTGTTTTAAGCAAGCTCACTCAACATTTGAAGAGTCTTCATATTGTTTTATCATACCTTCAGCCCATGATAAAGTTGAAGATAAAACAATACATACCACAAAATTAGATGACGCAGAGGCAATGATGAATCAATCTTTTGGTAAACCAACCTCTTATAGAGTTTGTCTATATTCATAAATAACCCTTTCTGCTTTAAATGATATGAGAGACAAAAACTTCCCCAATTTTGCATTCTACTTAATCAAACACTGCAAAACCTACTTGACATTAATTTATTAGCACCATTTCTCTCTCACTCTATCCCTAAGAAGTCCAGCACTGCTCTGTTTTGTCTTCTTTTAGGTCTGCTACTATTACTGTGCATGATATATGGCTTTTTCTTCCTTGTAGAGATACAA